CTTCCTCTCTGTGAAAAATCAATAAAATATATTAAAAAAAAAAAAAAGAATTTGTTTTAACATTAGCTTATAAAAAAGCACAAACCTAGTTTTAGAAAATTTTAGTAGAGGTGTTGTGTGTGGAAGAAGTCATATAGCAGAATCAGATCCCTGTATACAATTAAAAAATTAAGTATTTATTCTACTAGGAACTCTTCTCAAAGACTCATATAAAAGAATTGCCCTGACTGGTTTGGCTCAGTGGATAGAGCGTCCGCCTGCAGACTGAAGGGTCCCAGGTTCGGTTCCGGTCAAAGGCATGTACCTTGGTTGTGGGCACATCCCTAGTGGGGGGTGTGCAGGAGGCAGCTGATCGATGTTTCTCTCTCATCAATGTTTCTAACTCTCAATTCCTCTTCCTTCCTCTCTGTAAAAAATCAATAAAATATATTAAAAAAAAAAAAGAATTCCTTGCTACAATTAGCTCTAGATAAAATATATCAGTCATAGAAAGAAAAAAAATGATAATGCAAGGAGAAATGCGCTTTTACATCGGAGTTTTGTAGGAGCACAAAGAAGGGGGTCAATACACCAATGTCTTGGTAAGTATGTGCCATAATGACAATGCATACCTGTTAATGTTCAACTGTGTATTCTTCTATACCTCTTCCTTCCTTTTGGTTATACAAGTTTGAGTGCTGTTTTCTCCCAATACTCTCTATCCCCCATCCAAAATTAGCCAAAACCCTGAACCACCAAGTTTCAAAGCCAGGATTAATATAAGGAATTGTCGTTGCAGATTTTCCAACAGTAGTGGTAAAAGAGAAGACAAGATACTACGGCTCTTTCTTGGCATGTTTATAAACTTAGCAACATTTCAGAAGCAGCAAACGTTGCCTATGGCACATTCTAGTCAGTGGCTTGCCATATTTAGATGATATTTTACCTGCATTTATTGATGTCCATCTTCTCATATCCCATAAGTAAAAGAAGAATAACAGGAAATAGAATCTAGGGTTCCCACTTGCAAAATTCAGACTGCAGGGGATATGCAGGTCTAGATCTCTTTAAGGTTTTCTACTTCCGGGGTGGGGGTAGGGGGGAGAATGGGAATCTAAAGAACCTGCTTTATAAACTCTCCTGCCACCCCCAAACAACAGTAACAGTTGCAGCATTTCTGAGAGACACAGCTTAAAGCAGCATGGAGTAAGTACATGATATATGCCTCATATATACAGTCAAATAAGGGAAACTGAAGGGCGATGCTATCCCAGGCATAGAGGCTTAAACTCAGTCCTACCGTACCTCACTGGTACATCATCCTGTACTCTGAAATTACTCTCTTTCCTGGAGTGAGCTTCAAGATCTTAAAAGTAACACCAGGTAAACCCAATCCAGACCAGGATATGTTGCCATCAAGTCGGCTAGTTCCAAAACAGTAGTGCTACTGCAACCAATGATTCCTTGGAATACAGACATGTTAAAATCACCTTGGCAGCAGCATTGGCTCTTCTCTCTCCCTCTGCTGTTACTATACCTCCTTTTGCTAAATCTGCCTCTGAGCTTAGACAGGAGCTGGATGGTTCATAATCACCCAGCAGCTGCAGCTGAGCAATACTCAGGCTAATTGTGGCGCTGAAGCAGCTGAGAGGAAGAAAAGCCGTAATACATGCCCCACCATAGACACACACAAACTGCCGTACACACTACCAATAAGATAACAAAATACTTTAATAGGAACAGATTATTTCCTGTGAAGAAAGGCAGTCATACCTTGCTAGAGGAACTTGTATTTGTATTATAGATCTATTTAAATGTGAACTGAAGATGACCTAAGCCACGTAGGGTTAACAATGGAAGATCTTAACTAAAACTTCCTTTAAATATTCATGTAACAAAGCCAGCACCACAAACATCACCTTCATAACATGACTGAAAGTTCCTGTGATAGAAGAATTTGGCACAGATGTGATCCCTTCCTTCACTCTACATTACAAAATGCCAACAACTAAAAACTATCAACAACTAAAACAGCAAGCCTTACATAAAACAAGAAAAGTAGCATAATGCAATGATTCTCAGCATTTTTGAAACTCCAATGCCATATTGTATTTTGCTTTCTTTTGAAACAAAACATACTCCTTTAGGTGTTATAAGACACATCTTCATTTAACTTAAGTCAAAACATATTTTATGCTCAGAATTTCATGACATCCTTAAGAGTATCAAAACTAAGAATATCAAAACTGATCTGAAGTATTACTATTCCAGAAAACTGAATATGGATGAAAGTCAAGACTTTACCTTGATGCCATAGTTAATTCTGAGTTTTAACTGTTATGTTACATAATTTTTTGTAAAATAAAGTGTATTTAATACTTAATGACCCAACAGTATCCATTAGTTTAATAAACATATTTGATACCTACTAATTGTCACATATAAAAGCTGAAGAGGATTTAAAGTTTTTACTAACCTGGTGTCTTCTCTCAAAATATTAACATGTTTTTTATATGTCAAACAAGTTGCATGCACTAGCTGGATATAATAATTATTATTTAATAAGTCTAAACCTGTTTGCAAAGGACAATTTAACAGTATTCTAAAGTCAGTTACCAAATGTTAAGTCATTTATTTAAATACCATATATAAAATAGATTACACACAGGCTTCTTTAAAAAAGAAAAAAAGTTTTATGTAAACTACAACACAGATACAGAATAGCACACAGAACAAATGTATGGCTTAATGATTTATACTAAGGTCAACACCCTTGCAAACACCACCAGGTTAAAAGAACTTTGCCACCACTTAAGAAGCTGGGTCTCCAATCACAACTTCCTCCCTCCTCCCATACCTTTACTTCTGTAGAAATCACTTCCTTGCAGGTTTTAAAAAATACATATAGATTTATCACCCAAGTTTGTATTCGTAGGCAAAGTTCAGTATTGCTCTTTTAAATTTTTTATAGTAGTATAGTAGTATAATTAAGCTTCTTTTTAGCATAATGCTAGTAGAAACTAATGACGTCTACACTGAACATGAGATTGAGTTACATTTATAAAGAAAAGTTATTCACATTAATAAAATACTATCTAAAAAGACACAGCGTTAAACTTTGTATAAACAAGTCTTGTACCATGTGCTAGTAACGTTTCTCTTATACTGGGTCATTGCTAGTCATTTAGAATATTTATTCTTCTAACACTACATACCACAGAGGAAATTTATTTGCATAGACACTGACTTTTGTTTGTTTGTTCTTTTGTTTTTGGTGATGAAACCAGGGAACAAACCAGGGATGCACAGACATTGATTTTGTAGCTTGAGAATTTCCGGAATTTAAAAAAAAACAACACACAAAAAAACTGAAACCATGTATTAACATTATACTTCAGTCATAAGACAAATTCCACCTATCCCAGGAAGATAGGTCAAAGCTGTAATTTCACTTTCGGTTGAACAGAAAGGATTCAATTTTGTGGTTTATGAAGTCAGCAAGAACATACTGCAAAATTAAAGCTAATATAACATTATGGTGGCTATAGCAGACTACACACTTTAAGAGCCCTTTCACCTTTATTATTCTGAAAACATAGATACGAACTGTCTTGTATTCAGATTCAGATAAAAGGCAATTGGTTTGTTTTGTCTGTCTGTTTGTTTCAAATTTAGGAGCCTAGGAATTGTCAACCAGCATTCAAAAATCTCCACTGAGGTTTAGCTAATGTCCAAAAGTTCTTTCTTACGGAACAATATATGAAAACCACCTATGATGTACACAACACCCTTGGCTTCTAATCTCAGGCGCTCCTTCATTACCTGTCCATTCAAAATGCTTCCTGTCCTCTGTGTGCCAAGTACTGCAGCCAGTTCAGACGTTCAATTTACCATGCTCGCCTTAAGGGCACAGCCAAGCGTACACACTTCGTGATATTTTCCTCCGTGTGTAATTTAGCATTAGAAACTTAACTAGATGGTTTAAATACCCTTAGGATTATCAAGACACCGTTAGTACTGCAATCCTCCAGTTACACACATGCTATAATCACATATATGCACAGGCGAAAGCACCTATGGGAACACACACAGCGGTGGGACATACACACATCATAAACCGCATGAACATAAAGCTGTGATCCCACTAGACGAGAGGCTTTTCATTTCTTTAATGTATAAACGGCTAGTGTATTATTCCAAGCCTGTTTCGATTAATCACGCAGAAAATAACTCAACCAAATCCAAACGCTGCTGTCTCTCACTCGCTACACAACAAAATTAAAGCAGTCCCTACGTCGGGCTCGATTCTTCAAACGGCGCTGCCCTGCCCCAAGACAGCCAACGCTGGAAGCAATTATCAGGAAGGAAAACACACTTTAGAACAAAATTCTCTGCACCCTGTGGACAGAGACGGAGCGGCACAGGACCGTACAAGTGGACGCTTTGAATGGCATATTTCCCAGCCCCCAACACATAACAAAGGAAAACTTTAACATGTTGTGGTTTTCAATCAAACCCAGGGGAGCGCGAGGCTCACCCACCCGCCCCCCCTACGCACCCTCGTCGGCTCGGCTCGGCTCGGCTCTCCCGGCGCAGCTGCCGCCGGCGCAGGTCCGCACTCAGACCCCGACCCCCGGGCCGCCTCCCCCGCCGCTCGCTCCGGGGTTCGAGCCCAGAGACACCGCGCCTCACCTCGCCGGGCGGCCCGCACCACCGTCAGGACGCGGGGGGTCGGGGGTCCCCGCGTTCCCAGCACCTTAAGTCGGACTCGGGTGGGAACGGGACAGACGGGACGGGGCGGAGACCGAGGCTGGGGGCGAGCAGGTAGCGCCGGGAAGGAGACACGCCCGCCGGGCAGGCCGGGTCGGGGGAGGGGAGAAGTTTCTCCTCAACTTCCCGACTCGGAGCCGGCGGGGGCGGGGAGCGGCGGCGCCTCCGGGCGCGGGCGGGCGGGCGCCGGGGCCTACACTGCCCGGCCGGGGTCGGCCGCCTCCGCCCGCGGGGCCTCGTCCGGTCCTTACCTGCCCTCCGGTCGTGCTCGCATGGGTCGCGGCTCCTGGGGCTCCGGGGGTGGGGAGGCGGCGGCGGGCGGAGGCGAGGCCCACGGGGCCCTCTCCCTCCTTCCACCTCCTGGTCCCGGCGCCCGGCGGCAGCGACGGCAGCGCGGTCGACCCCAGACTTGTTACTCCGGGAGGAGGGAATTCCCGGGCTCCCGCCCCTCGCCCTCCCGCTCCATCGCCGCTCCGCGCGGCGCCCGCCCCGCTCCTGGCGCCGCCCCTCGGCGGGGGCGGGGCGGGGGCTGCAGCCACCTGCGCGCGGCCGCCCGGACCGGAACTCGCGCCGCGCCCCCCGGGCTCCCGCGGCTCCGACCTTCCGGCGCCGACGCGGAGCCCGGCAAGCCGCCAACCTGCCTCGCCGCGGGCCTCCCGGGTGGCGAGTCGGAGTCACGGATCCCGACCCAACATGGCGGCGGGGTCCGAGGCGGATTCCCGCGGCGGCGCGGGGGGCGTGAAGGGGCGGCTCGGTGCCCGCGGAGAGCCGGCCGCCCCGGAGATGGAGCCGGGGCGAGGAGCCCGTCCCCCCCGCCGCTCTCCTGGCCCTCGCCCGGGCGTCTGAGGTGCCGAGGGCTCCGGGGCTTTGTTTTGGGGGGCGGGCCGGGCCGAGGGTTTGGGGGGACGGTGAGCTCTCGGCGCCAGGCCCCGCACTCACTGGTCGGTGCTGGAGTCCCGCTCCGCAGGGCGCCGGGCGCGGCGGGTGCTCCGAACGCCTCCTCTCCGGCGGCGCCGTCCAGCCACACGCGCCGGGCCTCCCGCGCCGTCCCAGCCCCGAGCTTCCTGTTGCCTGTGTTCGAACCGCGGCGGAGTTTTGTTGGCGACTCTCCCAGCGATGAGCTCTGTGGCTTCGCTTGGGGCAGCTTATGTGTGCGGGATCCTGGCGACATCCCCGGGAGGGGCCGGGGCGGGTCTGACCCTGCCGGACAGCGGGGGAAACTGAGGCTGCCGCCCTGGAGTCCCGCGCATCGGCATCCAAGAACTTTTTTTTTTTTTTTTTTTTTGCCTCGTATCCAGTCGCTGGGGAAGGGAGAGGATCCAAAAGGAAATGGGATAAAGAGGAGGGTTGGTCAAGATCGGAATGGGCTGAAGATCCAGGCTTTTCTGATGAAATCACTTCTGCCCCGTCACACCCGGAGATTAGTTCCTCTTTGTATTTCTTTGCGGTGGCTATCGAAACTGTTAATGTGGGATTGTTGGTTTCCTGTGTGGTTTTTGGCGAAATTCAGTATCATCTTCAACAGAACAGAAATAGTACAATCAAGTGTCAGTATGTACTCCGGTATTCTAGGAGCCCGGGAAAGGCACACAAGGGTTTGGAAAATGTTTCTTCCGCTCCCTGTGCCGGCGGTAGGCACAGGCTCTCACGTTCATAAAATGGCACACAGAACGTGGAAAGGGGCTTTATTGGGTGTAACTACTAAAACTTCATTTGCCACTGACTGTCGCAGGCATGAAAATTTCCACGTAGGTTATATTCAGGGTTTGCTTGGTTTTTTTAACTGGAAAATAAATTCCTTGAGCTGTTTCTTTTCTAAACTAATAAATAAAATAGAGATAATATTTTTGTTGTTCTAAACTTTCAGCCTCAAAAAATCAACTCTAAAATGCTCATTAACCCTAGTCTATCCCAGATTAAGGGATAAAGTGGTTTTGAAGATGTCCTGTATGTGGTTTTACAGGTGAGAGAGTGTCAAAATCTCTCCTACCTGTTATTGGTTATATTAAGTCGCCATGTACTTTTCTTCTCTCCACCCTCATTTTGATTATTTTTATTACCTTATTCCCTGTTTTCTTTTTTTTTTTTTGAATATTCATCATGCAATCCCAAACTTCAGTCTGTAAATCTTCGACTCAATGGCTCAACAAGGAACAAAACACAAAAACTAGAGAAAGAATCTTAAAATCTCACTGAGTTTGGTAGAATAGAAATTGTTTTTAAGTGAAAATCTGTTCATTCATGAAATGGACAAAAGAAGCAAATTTGTGTATGTCCCACATAGCCTAGAGGTCTTGGAGGTATGTGTTAAAGCGTGATAAGGACCCAAGTCTTGGAACTCTGATTCTGGAAGAATCAGCTGGATGAAAAACGCAGGAGAAAAATTGAAACAAAATGAATGAAATTTGTTGTTCCTACAAAAGTGAAATGCATTATTTTAATGCTTTCAATTTTTTGAAAGTTTAAAAAATGTGCAGTTTAGTTGGGGCATGCTTGCTCTAATCCTGGAACATGTGACTTTGCCAGGAAATGTTTGTGTTTAGGATAAACCTCTCCTGCCAGCTGTCAGTAATCTGCTGCTTTCATCACTGAGGCTGTGACGATTTTCTCTTCCTGGTAACTAGAAAGTCTGCAGTCCTACACAGGGTGCATGCACTGGTCTTTGCTCCTTAATGACTATCCGACCCCAAGCATGCCTTCCACCCCACTGTGCTAACCACTCAAAGCCTGGATCTCCTCACTCCATTCAGTACCTGAAGTGATTTACAGCACTGTAGCCTTGCCTCCTCCACCTGGCCAAAACTGCTGGTTATCCAGTTTGGAGGAATATGAGGACCCCTCTAAGCGAAGATTTGGAGAATCAGGCAAAAGGAAAGTGTTCTTCCTAGAATGTTAGGTTCTGTAGGGCACGGCTATAGGGTTAAGCCTCAGACTGACCTATTGGCAAAGCCACAAACAAGTCCTAGCTTAGAAGGCACATGACCTTATGAGCTCCCTAGATACTCCCTAGGTAGCTAATGGGCTGTGGGAGGTGCAGCAAGTGCTGCCAAAACAAGTGAAACTCACAAGAACATTGTAACTATGGTGACCACTACCTTGTTTACCTCTGGCTATAAAATAAAGGCTCAGCTTGCCGCTGGAACTCTCTCTGTGGCCTCAGCCAGGCACAGGAAAATCCACCTAGACCAGCCATGGGCAAACTACGGCCCGCGGGATCCGGCCCGTTCGGCTGTTCTATTCGGCCCGCGGAGCCGAAAGAGCGGAGGGTTCTCTTGCTCTCCCCTCCGCTCCTTCACCAGCAGCAGTGTTAACATGTATTAGTTCACACAAACACTCCATCCATGCTTTTGTTCCGGCCCTCCAGTCCAGTTTAAGAACCCATTGTGGCCCTCGAGTCAAAAAGTTTGCTCACCCCTGACCTGGACCCAGCTTATTCTCTCTGTCATTTCTTCATCCTTTACCACCCTCACTCAGGCTTGTGGAACCCTTGGCTGAGCTGGCTTGACACAAGGTTCATTGTATCAAGCTTAGTGGAGAGGTACAGTAAACCATTAATTTCTGAATGTTCCCGATGCCTTTGTTGCCTTAAGGGCTGGTGCTTGTGTATTACAGTTTACTTCCCCCTCGACTGGGCTGTCTAACAACCAATTCATTGGATGTATAAGTGTTGGGGTCCAACCCCAGCAGGTCCAGGGGTTCCCAAAGGTGTGGACGGAGTCGGCGAAGAAGGAATGACACAGAGGCAGCGTTCAGGTGATCAGCAGCCTAGCCAGGATCTCTAGCCAGGATCTCCAGCCAAGTTCTGTCTTTTATTGTCTTGTTACATCTGTATTTATACCAGTTGATTTTAATCCTGTCAATTTCTATTCCAAAGGTTAGAGCGTTTCTTATCTCCATTCCAGGGAGTAAAGATTATGTAGCTTAAGCATGATTGTTCGTAATTAAAATGATTAACTACCCTACTGGCACTTAGTTAAGGGGTTTTATTCCCTCCCTAACTTCAGGGAAAAATCCCTACCTGGGGAAACAACTTTTCTCGGAGAGGTGACCTTGGTTAAAACACATAGCGCCAAGAAGGTGAGCAAACATATTAAGAACAGTATGCCATATACGCCAGGTCCCTTGAAACATATGCTGTGCTGATGTTTCTTCCCTGCAGCGACTGTGTCAAGCAGCAAGGACGGACCGCCTTCCGGCATATAAGGACACATCCCACAATGTATACATGTAACAAATGGCAATCTTACAGGAGCCCATCTTTCTGCTCTTTTTTGTTGCACTCTGTAGTTTTTAACTTCATGGTCATCTGGTCTACACTTAGAATTTCACCTGTGCTGCTTGTGCCTTCCTAGCTCCAGGACTACTTTTTGAACGTCTAGTCTTTCATCTCTTCAGTTCTTTCTGGTTCTTCTGTAATTTGGTCCCAGCCCTGTTATATCTAACAAAGTTCTTAATTTCAGTTCTAGCTCTTCCTGGTGTCTATTTGCCTATTCCTAGGTAACCTTTCCCATCAATTCAAACTTTCATACTCTCCACTTGGTTTCTCACTCTGTTCTGGGACAGCCGTTTCTAAGCTCGACGGTACTTTGCACCTTCTCACATGCCCTCTGCCTAGCAGGATATAGTATGCAATGGACACCTTTTGAGGGTGTCTGTTTAACCCAAGTTCCTCTTTGAGAATTGGTCCTCTCCCAATAGCTGGACTATAGCCCTCTGTTCTGAGTATTGCTACCCTCAGGAATTTTGAATATTGAGGGAGTGACACAAAGGTGACTCAGATTATTCCTGGTGGTAGAGTTGAGAGGCCAGTGGCAGAAGGTGAGTGTTCAGGCTGGGGGAGTCAGTCCAGTAGTGGTAGGCAACAAGTGTTCTGTGTTGATGGTGCCTGTGTCTCAGCAGACCATTCCTGTGGCAGAACCTGAACTCCGCCTTCCCTTCCTTGGTTCCTACCTGATCCTGCTCCACCAATCTTCCTGTCAATTCTCTGAACTCCCTCTTTTTCAGTTTGAATTTAGTAGAGACCATATCTTTTCTTTACAGATGAGAACCACTACTTAGTTTCTGCTTCTTACTTGTACTCCTGACAGTAAACACAGGTGATGCGAGGGCAGCATCTCCTGCACAGAGTAAGGGTAAATATGGGGTGGGGGAGGCAGTTTTCACAGAGAGAATGAAGCAGATGCACAGCAAGAAGCAAGGATGTGAGATGGTAGGACCCCAATGCTGAGACTCCAGTTGCCTTGAGCCACATGTAAGACCCCCAAACTAAAACAGAGCTAGCAAGTCATTCCCTCTGTTACTAAACTCAAGGGGTTTGTTGCTTGGGGTGTTCTATTCAGGAATGAGACATGGGAGAGACAAGGGTCCGAGTAACAGAGCCCAGAGCCGGCAGGTCCAGGAGGGCCTGGTCCAGGTTCCTCCCTCGGCCAGGGCGGCTTCCATGGCGTCCTGAGTTCTGCCCACTCATCTTGGGAGGCTCCTGCGCATCC